GATATTTTTGTTGTATTTTTTATTGAAAATGAGTTTTTGCCCCCTAAAATTTTATAAATTCTCTTTTGCTTAAAATTTTATAAATTTATCATTCTTAACATAAAATCTTGTATTCGTCCCCGATTAAGGCAAGGTAGAATCTAACAATAGAATGATCCACGTGATGATCTTTCATTTGCTCAAGTATATTGAAGGCGGGCGGGGATAGACCTAGGGATAAGTGGGGACAGTCACCCCTAAAAGTTTAAATTGCTATATATTTCAGATATTTTTGTTGTATTTTTATTGATAATAAGTTTTTACCTCCTAAAATTTTATAAATTCTCTTTTGCTTAAATTTTTATAAATTCATCATTCTTAACATAAAATCCTGCATCCGTCCCCGATTGAGGCAAGGTAGAATCTAACAATAGAATGACCCACGTGATGATCTTTCATTTGCTCAACTATATTGAAGGCAGCGTATGAATGGATCTAGGGGGTAGGTTGGGACAATCACCCTTAAAAGTTTCAAATTCCTATATATTTCATTTATTTTTGTTGTATTTTTAATGAAAATAAGTTTTGCCCTCTAAAATTTTATAAATTCTCTTGCTTAAAATTTTATAAATTCATCATTCTTAAAATAAAATCATGCGTCCATCCCCGATTAAGGTAAGGTAGAATCTAGCAACATAATTATCACATGATGATCTTTCATTTACTCAACTATATTGAAGGCATGGTAAGGACGGACCTAGGGGGCAGGTGGAGACGGTCCACCCTAAAAGTTTCAAATTCCTATATATTTCAGATATATTTTTTGTATTTTTTATTGAAAATAAGTTTTCGCCCCTAAAATTTTATAATTTCACTTGATGATCTTTCATTTGTTCAACTATATTGAAGGTGGGATGAATCTAGGGGTAGGTGGGAACGGTCCCCACTAAAAGTTTCAAATTCCTATATATTTCAGATATTTTTTTGTATTATATATTGAAAGTAAGTTTTCGTCCCCTTAAAATTTTATAAATTATCTCTTACTTAAAATTTTATAAATTCATCATTCTTAACATAAAATTCTGCGTCCGTTCCCAATTGAGGAGAGGTAGAATCAAACAACAGAATGATCCACATGATGATCTTTCATTTGCTCAACTACATTGAAGGAAGGGCAGGGATGACCTAGGGGATAGGTGGGGACGATCACCCCCTAAAAGTTTCAAATTCCTATATATTTCAATTTTTTGTATTTTCTATTGAAAATAAGTTTTCATCCCCAAAAAAATTAGAAATTATCATACTTAAAATTTTATAAATCCATCATTTGTTACATAAAATCCTGCGTCCATTCTCGATTGGGGCAAGGTAAAATCCAACAACAGAATGATCCACATGATGATATTTCATTTGCTCAACTATGTTGAAGGTTAATACAGTGATGAACCTAGGGGGCAGGTGGGGACGATATCCCTTAAAAGTTTCAAATTATTATATATTTTCAGATATTTTTTTGTATTTTCTATTAAAAATAAGTTTTCATCCCCTAAAATTTTATAAATTCTCTCTTACTTAATTTTTTTTTAAATTCATCATTCTTAACATAAAATCTTGTGTTCTTCCCCGATCGAGGCAATGTAGAATCGAACAACAAAATGATCCACATGATGATCTTTCATTTGCTCAACTATATTGAAGGCAGGGCATTGATGAACCTAGGGGGCAGGTGGGGACGATCAATCCCTAAAAGTTTCAATTTTTATATATTTCATATATTTTTTCGTATTTTCCATTGAAAATAAGTTTTCGTTTCCTCAAATTTTATAAATTATCTTTTACTTAAAATTTTATAAATTATCTTTTACTTAAAATTTTATAAATTCACCATTCTTAACATAAAATCTTGCGTCTGTCCCCTATTGAAGCAAGTTAGAATCTAACAACAGAATGATCCACATGATGATCTTTCATTTGCGCAACTATGTTGAAGGCATGGCGGGATAGACCTAGGGGACATGTGGGAACAATCACCGCCTAAAAGTTTCAAAATTCCTATATATTTCTTATATATTTTTTATATTTTTCATTAAAAATAAGTTTTCGTCTCCCTACAATTTTATAAATTATCTATTACTTAAAGTTTTATAAATTCATCATTCTTAATATAAAATCGTGTGTCCGTCCCCGATTGAGGCAAGGTAGAATCTAACAACAAATGATCCACATGATGATATTTCATTTGCTCAACTATATTGAAGGTAGGGCAGGGATTGACTTATGGGGCAGATGGAGACGATCACCCCTAAAAGTTTCAAATTCCTATGTATTTTAGTTTTTTTATATTTTCTATTAAAAATAATTTTTCGTCCCCAAACATTTTATAAATTTTCTCTTACTTAAAATTTTATAAATTCATTATTCTTAACATAAAATATTATGTATCTCTCGATAGAGTGAGTCATTCTCAACATAAAATATTATGTATCTCCCGATAGAGGGAGTCATTCTCAACAAATTGCATGCCTAAATTCCAGTTCAACAACCAAGTGAATTTCATGATAAAGGGTGTAGGTTTCGAGAAGAGCAGAATCACGATAACCAAGAAGAGGAAGAGCTTGACATGTCACCCCCTCACAATCATGCCCAATAATCCCCATAGTCGGTCCATCATACTTCAATCTTTAGATGAATTTTAGTATAAATTACACGATTAATATTTAAATTAATATTTTTATTATATTTTGTATCTAAATTTTATTTTTTCTTCAGTCATACATAGTGTTTAGTTTAAAATTCAATTTGATATCCGTTGTTAAAAAAATAATATAACTATTAACATAAAATTTTTATTTTTTAATAATGACATGACATTACCTTATGGTGACATGTCAACATAACCATTAAGTTTTTAATGACAGTGTACCAAATTGAAACTTAAACTGAACGTTATGTATGATTTAAAAAAACTAAAGTTTATGTATCAAAACAGAACAAAAGCAATAATTTAAGTATTAAAACATGTAGTTTATCTGAAACTTTATTTAATTATATTAAATATCACTTATTTATATTTAAATAACTTTTTATTATTGATTTTTTAAATTTTATAAATATTATTAAATTTAACCCATTTTTATTATTATTAGATTATGTTAATTAAATATTTTATAGTTGATTAGTAAATTCAATTATCAATTTTAAAATTTTAATAATAATAAAAATCAGTTAAACATAAGTTATTAACTTCTTATACATTTTACTTTCTACATTTTAGCTTCATTAAAAATAAAGCATGAATTTTTTATTTGATATACTCGATGGATTATAGGGATTTTAAATTAATTTAAATTTTTTTGAAACATTTTAATTAATTCTTGAAGTTATTGATATTTGTATCAACCGCACCATTTTAATATATTGATGTTGAATATGATGCACAACATATTTAAAACTATGTGAATATAGTTATAAATATGTGTATGTATATATTCCATATATACATTTCGGATCTAACATACTAAATAATTGGCAATGTCGTTAAAATTTAAGAAAAATATTTTACTTAATGTTCAAATTTAATTTGTAAATGTAGTATGTATACATTTTTAATGTCATGTCAACAATGTTAAAATTAATGTTTTAGTCAATATTTTTATTTAAGAATAAAAATTCAATTATATTTGAAAGGTTAAAGGTAATCATGAAAAAAAGACAAAATAAAACACATCAAAGATTACTGAATTATATTAAAATGATTGTTTTAGTCATTAAAATAATAACAAAACATAAAATGATTATTAACTTTATCAAATTATTATAAAATGATTTTTGTGATGTTATAATAGTTATAAAAGTTTGATAAATTTATAATATTTTTGTAAAATTTAATGATTATTTAATAATTATTTTATACCTGTTTGAAAATTCTAATGATTATGTTGTAATTTTGAAAAGTTAAGCGATCAAGAAAATATTTGATGATAGTTTAGTGGCCTCTAAATGTACTTTACCCAAAATATTGGAGTTAAATAGACAAAATGTAAGCATGGCAGGTTAAATTTATAATTATACCAAAAGTAAAGCCAGGCTCGCCCTATTGTCATTAATGGTGTGTAAAAATATCTGATTTGACCGATTCTATCTAAAAATTTGGATATCATTTTTTTATTTTTGGATAATTCGATAGGATATATGATTTTTTGTTGGATAATCGAATATGATAAATTTTAGTTTTGGATTATAAAAAAACTGAAAACAAATTAGGCAGATTTTAGATAACATTTATCATAATAAATAACTAACTCACTAATCCATTAAAGCTCTAACCCAATAAAAATTAAATCATTTAATTATTTATTATGTGCTAGTAATTATATATATATATATATATATATATATATATAATAGTAGAGGTATTAAATAAGTTACATTAAATATGGCTTGGATTAGGAGAGAAAGAAAAGTGGTTTTGGATCCGATAACAAAGAAGCTATCTGAGCACATAAAACTTACCATATTACACACATAGAGAAACTCTTAAAGAAAAATTGGGAAGTAGAGTTGAAACATATACTTAGAGAGGCTAACAGCCTCGTAGACTTCATTGTCAAGCAGATATGGAAGTATCATGAAGACATAATTTTTCTGAAAAACTAACCCAAGAAGCCAGGAGTTGTTAATTGCTGATAGAATGGGCAGCTAGGCGACCCATTGTACCTGATTCAACCAAAAAAATAAGTTACATTAAATTAAAAAATTAAAATTATTTTTTATCAAATTAAATTTTATATCCGAATCCAGACATCCAATCTGATTTTTTTCGAATTGAATAAAAATCACTATTTCAAATATTCAAAAATTTTATATCCGGACATGGGCATGGAGATATAATCCTTCCTCCAATAAATCTCCAAAGACATAAACCTTGGAAAAAAAATCAACATACTTTTGTTGACAGTTACACTCGAGTCCCAGTAACATAATATGTCTGTTCATGTACATCTGCACCTATTGTTGTCAGCATGAACTATGTGCTGCTGTTTCAGTGTTTACGGCCTTTAAGATTACCTGCATCTTTTGGGACACTTGTTGGGTGTATATATATGTGTATTTGTGTAAAATAGGATGTTTCCCCTAGGTTGCGGGGATGATAAATGTTTGTATTAATAGTCTTTGACTGCTGAGTGTTTCCGGTGGCTGTGTAATCATAGGAATTACAGCTACGGAGCTGCCGGGGATGGTATAAAAGTTGATTTGTTGCACCATCCCGAGTATCTCGAGCAGAATGCAACTATTGCTTTCCAGGCTGCCATTTGGAGGTGGATGACCCCAATCAAGAAGAACCAACCTTCAGCTCAAGACATTTTTGTCGGCAACTGGAAACCAACCAAGAACGACACATTGGCCAAGCGGGGTAATACTTTTGGTACCACTATGAACGTTCTTTACGGAGAATACACTCGTGGGCAGGGCGATATCAATCCGATGAACACCATTATCTCCCATTACCTCTATTACCTTGATCTGCTGGGTGTCGGGCGAGAGCAGGCAGGGCTGCACGATGAGCTAACTTGTGCCGAGCAAGAAGCTTTCAACCCAGCCTCATCTCCCAAGACTGTAACTTCTTCTTGAGCTTTGGGTTCAGCCAAATTTATCGTTAAACAGTACTTGTCAAGGAGGGTTATTCAATAAGAGAGAGGGGAAATTAGGTGGTTGTAAAATCATTGTCCATGTCGCTGTGAGAAAGGGCCCATCCACTTCATTATACTATATATAGTTATACGTTGATGTGCTGCTGCTAGGTGGTCTTTATAATTTGCTTGGTTTGTGTGTAGGTTTTGATACCATTTGATGCTTGTTGTGCTGTCAATGACATTGAATATAAAACATATGCATTGAACCACCTTTTTATTCGAAATTATTTGGTAATTTAGTTTGTCAATTTGTTTTCTTCTCTCTTTCCGGAGATCCTTAATTTTATTGGCCCGGTCCATATCAATGTGTGGTGGATTATGAGGAATATATACAAGTAAATATACGGTGAAGGAGAGAAAGAGGATGATATTTGACGCGTGGGTTGGCTTATTTAGGAAATAATAAGATTAATAAAAAAAATTAGAAGTTTTAAAAATTTGAGAAATTAATTAAAATAAACGTGTCATCTTAAGCAATAATTGTCAAAGTTGACAATGTTAATAAAATTGTTCTCTACTCGGTAAAAATAATATCGATAGTTATTAATAATTTTATCAAAATTATGAACAGTTGTAGACGACTTTAATATCAAGAACAGAAAAACAGAAACAATGATACTAATAAGAATCAAAATTAAATAAAAATAAAAATTTCGACCACTTTAATGTCGACGATGAAAGAAAAATAGAGACCAATAATGCAAAAAGATCAAAATGAGAAAAATATTAGATTTAAGGGTAAAGTTCACAAATAGTCCCTCGACTATAGGGTGATACTTTGGTTGAGTCTCTCGACTATTAAAAGTTACAAAATGGTCACCTGACTATTTAGTATATTTCAAAGCGTCATTTTTAGTTAAAAAATTGAAAATAGTATGAGCTTGATGTTAACATGTTGACTGAGATATAATATTTTTTAGATTATGGGATCAGAATTTTATCATATCTCAGTCATCAAGTTAACACAGATTGCCATCAATTTTTAACAGAAAATGATGAGTTTGGAACATACTAAATAGTTAGGTAATCATTTGTAACTTTTAATAATTGGAGATTCAACAAAGCAACACCCTATAGTTAAAAAGATTATTTTATATTTTTTAATAGTTGAGGGACTAAAAAAGTATCATCCTATAATCGAGGAACCATTTGTATACTTTACCCTAGATTTAAATACCTATAAAAATTGTAGAAGCTGTGTAGTACTTTGGGCTTTGAGCCTTTGTAATTGGGCTGGTATAACATGCACAAGAATGTTTCTCCAACAATGGATGCTCTGAGTGAACCGGGACTAGGGTTTGAACCGAGTATAAGAAAGGTTTCCTAGTTACGCAAGCCCCCTTCCCCAGAAGGAAAAAAACAAACATAAACTCAGCACTCTGCTTCTACGTCGCATCAGCTCTGTTCCAAACCCTAAAAGCAATGCCTCCGAAAGCAGCTAAATCCAAGGAAGCACCAGCCGAGAGGCCGATCCTTGGCCGATTCTCTTCTCACCTCAAGATCGGAATCGTAACTTTCATCTTTCAACTTCATTTTTCTTTTCTTTTCTTGAAGCTAAAGTTTTTCATCTTGTAAATATCGCTTCTTCACTTGCAGGTTGGATTGCCTAATGTGGGAAAATCTACTCTTTTCAACACGCTTACTAAGCTTTCAATTCCTGCTGAGAATTTCCCCTTTTGTACAATTGAGCCAAATGAAGCCCGAGTTAATGTCCCCGACGAGCGATTCGAATGGCTTTGCCAATTGTTCAAGCCCAAAAGTGAGGTCTGTTTTCTGCTTTGTTTCGCCCGTCTTTGCATAAAATTAGCATTACTTGCACTTAAGCCGCTGCAATGTTATTATATCCAAGTAAGTCCTTAGCTTTTAATTTATACTTAAATTAACCCTTAATATAAGACAACCTTTCCTAAAGGCTTATTTAAGTACAATTTAAGTATTGGGGCTTACTTAAGAAAACTGAAATTGTTCAGGGCCTTTGTTAGTGTTTTAGCCATTTTTAATGTAAAATGCTGATATTGAGCTCACTATTGTTTTCTTAGCTTGTTTCTGTCTAAAACAGAGAAGTTTCGATGCAACAGGTTTCAGCTTTCTTAGAAATTCATGATATCGCCGGACTGGTTAGAGGTGCCCATGAAGGCCAAGGATTGGGCAACAACTTCTTGTCTCACATCCGTGCAGTTGATGGCATTTTTCATGTTTTACGTAAGATGCCTAGCCTTTCGAGTTGGAAACCTTTTCCTTGAGGAATATTGATTTTGCTTTTACAACAAAGGATTGTTAAAGTTATTAAATGGTTTATGTATTTCTATTTACATATAAGTTTGAGGTTATTTAAAGCCATTTTTTTTAGTTATTGTGTGCTTTTGGTGTAAGAATTATTTCTTTGGAATCCTAACTTTTGCACTCAACCCTACAGGTGCATTTGAAGATTCAGATATCATCCACGTTGATGATTCTGTTGATCCTGTAAGAGATTTAGAGACTATTAGTGCTGAGTTACGGTTGAAGGTTAGTTCTTGAATTCTAATATTCTTGCAATAGGTATTTGAGCTTTGATTAATACAGCTAGTCTGTTTTTCATTTGAAATTGGAAGATTAAGAAACACATGTTACCATTGTTTTTAAGGCATGTGCTTACCATTGCTCACCTGATTGTTCTATTTAATTTCCTTTTCCCTACTCATTTCATTAGATGTATCTTTACTGGTAAGAAATAAACGGTATTGAACTTATGCTTCTGAATTTTTTAATATTCAACTATCGACATGAACCATAAGGGCATGACATTGACCAATAATAATTTAATGTCTTGGAGATAGACTAGACCATGCATTAGAGTTTGTTATGTACCTTAAGCTTTACAAAATACACATACAAAAACTCTATTGCACTTCACTTCACTTGGCTAACCCTTTCTTCTGTGTCTAGCGCCTGAGGCAATATAAAGCTTCTAGCACCTAGAGTATGTTTTGCACCTTGACAACACTTCATTTTACAAGCTTGAAGATGAAATTTGAATTAAAAAGATTAGCACATGTACACATTACGCTTGTCCCTTGCGTGCGTGTCATGAATTTGATTGGATTTTGTTTTTTTCCTAATGTCTATCATCTTCTTATTCATTATATTTATGGGGGTTTTAAGCTTTGGAGAAAGCTAAAATATATATTTTTTGTTTTGAAATTTAAATTATGGCATCATGTAAAGATTTCACATGGTATGTATGCTGTTTCCTTGTTACTAATGCAATCCTGTCGTTGCTTCATTGTGATTTCCTTTACCTATATAATAGTTTTTCTATAATTGCACTTCAACATTTAAGAACCTGATAGGACCTTTATATGCTAATTACTTTTTAACTTCATTTTCTTTAGGATGTTGAATTTATGGAAAGGAAGATAGAAGATCTTGAGAAGAGCATGAAGAGGAGTAATGACAAGCAGTTAAAAATAGAGCTTGAAGTGTGTCAAAGGGTAGGGTTTTGAACATTTGATCTTTTACTTTTTCTGCACGTCTCATCTTATCTATGTCATTCTTGTGGCTGTGGGTCTGATTTTTTATTACCGCTTATCTGTTGATGCTGCTTATGTATTGTAAATAGAGGAGATTATCTCATTATTCTTCAATGTCCCTTTAGTCTATGTACATTCTGGTAGTACAATTATTCTTCTATGCCCTTTAGTGTTGTCTTTATGGTGGTGCTTTGATCTGAGAGTTCCAACTTTTAGCAACAACATTTACTCCAGAATTTAAGATCACCAGAGATCATGACCCGAAAGTTGCTAGGTCCTCATTTAAGGTTCATGGCCTTAGGCCCACAACCTAAAAGATGAGCCCCAATTAAACACCCAAGACCGTGAGTTAACATAAAAAATAGTGGTCAGAAGTTCAAATACTGTAGACCATGACTATGGTGGTTGTTAAAAGTCGCCGGTAAAGACTAATTGTCACTGAACCTAAAATCTACATTTTATCCAATTTTGTTTTTGATGGTAACTTGTAAAGACTATTATAGCTCAGTCAAGTATGGATTTAATCAGATTATCACATTCATTGTCTATGAGCTTATGCTTTAGAGCAAAGTTTGCTAATGGTGGAGAAATACTAATGCCAAAAAGTGATCTTGCTTGTTAAATTACAGGTTAAGGCATGGATTGAAGATGGAAAAGATGTTCGTCTAGGGGACTGGAAAGCAGCTGATATTGAGATTTTAAATACTTTTCAATTGCTTAGTGCCAAGCCGGTTGCTTATTTGGTTGGTGTTCCTTCTATTTTACTTAACAATGTCTTTATTTTCCATTTCTTATCGCTGTATGTGTGATATGTTCTTGTCATCTGTTAAGTAAGGTGTGCTGCTATCTTTTATGGTTTTTTGCTTGCTTTATCTCTGATTTATGTATAAAAATCTGTGACCAGATTTTCCTATTACTATCTAAATGATCTAATGAGTAATGGTATAGACTAGATGTCTGGATACCTTGTCAATTTTCAGAGTTAAATATGGGTTCGTATTGTATACTTACTGTAGATTTACAGAAGTATTCCTAAGTAGAAGACCTGAGATTTGTTTGCTTTAGAGACTGTTGTTATTTCTAGCTGCCTTATCTTTTTGCAATTCCTTTTTGCTTAATGTTGTTGACATATTATTTAATTTAATGTTCAGGTTAACATGACTGAGAAAGATTACCAAAGAAAAAAGAACAAGTTCTTACCGAAGATTCATGCTTGGTATGCTCTCTCCTTTTGTGTATGTGTCTCGGAGGTTGGGGTTCACATGTGCGTGTTCTATATAATGCCAAGAAACATAGTGAGATAAGATGACACTGTTTTCTGTTATTTTGCCCAATGTTTCCTGGCATATTCCAATGTTTAGGTTGTATATTGGCTTTTATTGAAGTAGGAAAGGATTGGGTAAAGAAGAAGCTCGAGATTCACCAAAAATTTGGGGGAACTGGGAAAAACCGTAGGAAATTGATAGAAAAGTATAAGAGAGGGAGAAACAGGGGAAGAAATATAAAAAATTAATGGTCCTTAATCCCAGTAATCTATAATCTAAAACCTACTTAAAAGTAACAACCAGATCATATATAGGTGCAGGCCATAGAGCCTCTACAAAAACTCACATACCATAACAAGAGTAATACAAACTCAAATAATGCACAACAGATCTTAGATTTATTAGGGTGTTAGAAAATACATTTAACCAAAAGGCTTAAATCTAAACAGGGTTTAAGCAGCTCCTAGTGTTGGCAAACCATCCTTTTGCTTTTAATTTATCATACTTATAAAATTTTATCAAGGTTTGTTTATTTTCAATTGGAATGAGAATTGTTTTATCTTTTACAGGGTTCAAGAACATGGTGGTGAACCTATCATACCTTTTAGCGGTGTGTTTGAGAGAAACCTTACTGATATGGAACCTGCAGAAGCTGCAAAATATTGTGAGGAAAACAAGGTGCAAAGGTTAGTTGAAAAAGGATGTCTTTTGTTTTATGGGTTTATAATGCTTTTAGTTTGAAATGTCAAAGTATGATTTGGTGCTTTGATGTTTGACCTGAAACTTTTTTTCTTTTTCTTATTGTATATATATGATGCTGAGGATTTTTTTGATCACAGTGCTCTTCCAAAGATCATCAAGACTGGTTTCTCCGCTATTAATCTCATATATTTCTTCACTGCAGGACCAGACGAGGTATCTAATTCTTTGATACTTATTTATTTTATGGGAGTGCTTGGTTCTATCTAAATGTTAACAAGTAGTCTGATGCATTGAAAGAGTATTTACTGCTTTTAAATTGATCTAAGATCTTTATATTGAATTTGGAGACGTTTT